GTTTCTTCTTTAGAAGGTGTCTTTTCTTCTTTATTGTTAAGTCACATGTGTATGAGTTTGCAGATGTGCTTCTGAAGCTGATGATGGAGTATTGAATACCTGCTCCTAATCCCAGATGACATTTGAAGATGGTAATATAATATCCTTGTGATACATAGGATGCAAATTCACTTGAAACATTAATAGTATTTTATTATCAGATTACAGTTTTACACCAATTAAGTGTGTGTGTGTGTATATATATATGATAAATTACAAAAAAGTGCAGCAAATTCAGACTGTTGCAGATAGAAAAATTTTGAATATTAATATACTACAAATATAAATTTTGTTCTTATTATCCATCTGGAATTGGAAACCACACAGAATAATCTCTGGATTGAGTTTGTATGTAGTGAAGAGCAGTTAGTTATCCGAAGGAAGGTACCTGAAAAGCATTTTCAGACTTACTTGTGCCAGTAATCACTGCAATCTAAATCACTGCTCTACCGCTCTTATTGTATAAGATGACTAAACCACTGTTAAGCTTTGCGTTTCCTTCACTGCAAATACAATTTAGACTTAATGGTTCCTGTTTCAATATTGCTTGATCCTTTGACATAAATCAGAGGGACATCCTCTTAGCAAAGCCATCAGAAACATAATTTAATTTGTATTAGTATGATAATTTCTAAAAAACATATGTAAAAAAAATTTCCCTTTTCTCCCTCATGTCTGGTTTTTATTTTCATAATGGTATTTTGTAGACAATACATTGGGAAAGCTCTGGTGCTGTAGTGTAAGATGGCATAGTTTGGTTAAAGTGCGCATTATAACAAGCAGGAAAAACTGCTCAGAAACATGATTTTCAGTAATTGCATGGACAGGCCTGTGAACTTGAATCATTTGGGGGGGCGCATGTCTTCCCTGAAAACTTCCTCAACATTGATGAATTTCTAAGGAGTCCACAACTAACCAATGTTTCTTAAACCTTCTGACTGCACCAGTGGAATTCAGTAGGAGATCAGTTTAAAACAGCTTAAAAAAATGTCTTTACGTAGTGTGTCATGCAGTTCTGGAGCTTGCTGCCCTGATAGGTCAGGTAGGTAGGTGCTATTGAAAGGCTCAGTTAGACAAATTCACAAGCATCAAGTCTGGTGCCTGAACTCATATCTGGAAATTGTAACTCAGTGGAAACACTGTTGTTTTTGTCCAGCTGGCAATTTAGAGATATAAAGAAAGTTGAAAAGCACTGTATAAATTAAGCAATCTTTTGGGAGTTGAAGGAGGGGAGGAAATGCAAATGCTGTCAAATTATTTACTTATCATAAATTGATGAGTGTGTAAATGCCATGACTTGATGACACTTTTGGGAAACCAGTGACATAGGAAAATACGTGTATTTCTCATAGAAAATATACCACCCCGTATTCCTCCTTCTGATGAATTCTTGTCATCTGCTTTTAATGTTAATCCCACACATGTACAAACTGCGTTTTATGTTCCACGTGTTTATACTTTACATCCATGAGTATGCTGATCCTGGAGATCTTCATTAAGAATTTAATTTCTTGCTTTAGTGTCCTGGGTTTAATTTTGTTGTTGTTTGATGGAAAATTGTTCATATCTGTTTGAATGCACTGTTTGACAGCAAATGTTCCAATACCCAAAGAGGGCCTGCACAAGTATAAAAAAGGACATTTTGCACAAAATTAAAAGGCATGACAGATACAGTGGTAATGCTTGTACAAGAGAAAACATGAATATATAATAATAAGAGTGCTTTAAAAATTTTTCTCTGTAATACGAAGGGGGTAGGTAGTGAACTTAAAAAGCTTTATAGAGGCAGTGTGGAGTGGACATGAAACCCATCCTTCACACTTGTGGTGGGGCAGTGCTGCATCTTTCTTTGTGACGGGAAGCTGCAAGACAGGGCGGGAAGGGTATGGCAGAATTATTAGCTGGTAGATGTTTCTGCCTTTATGAATGACAACATAAGGCTAGATCTCTTCTGCCCCAACCTAATGAAAGATAAAACATTGATCTGGCTGCCTGGGAAATTTTCGTTTGGAGATTTGTAAGAATTTAGAGTTGAAAAAGAAAGATGGCAGAACTGTAGCTTCAGAAGTAGTTGCTTTTACACAATAAATGGAGTGTAGTACTATACGCATACAAAATTGGCCATTAATTTGTTTGTAAAGAAGTCCGCCATCAAAACTTGTGTACATAAGTTTTACATTGTAAGGATGCTTCAGGTCGGTACACTGACACAGGCAAAGTGTAAAATCCTTAAGCTATTCCATGCTAGTCCAGGCAAAATACTGATTGGATTCACTGAATGAAATATTGTAGTCTTTCAGTAGAAATTCTGAGATCTGACCATAATAAATTAAATCTCAATGATAACTCTTAATTTTGAGTGTCTTCCACCCACTGCTTTTACCTGCTGATTTTAAGCTTCTCTTTTGGAACTAATTTAATTGGCAGGGTTGGGTCTGAGGGCTTTTTAACTTTCCTTTTTTTTTTTTTTTCCCCCCCCGCCTGGGTATGCTTCTGGATCTGTTGTGAAGAACAGAACGAGTGGCCTGCTGTGTGCAAAGTGCCTGGAGTATGCATTGAGTGTCAATTCTCAAGTCTCGTTTGAATTTTGCAAGTCATGGGATTGCAGAGCTCTGCACTTTCTGTTTGTGTTGTTCTCACTGGTTTCTTCTCCGCTTCCCTGACTTGTGACAAATTCATGGACATACATCTACATGGAGGAAGCCTTCTAATCTTCCTGGTTTCTCTCTAATGGCCTCAGTGTATTTACCTGTTCACACACGTCAGTGTAACAAAAACCCCAAGTCTTGCTTCTTTGTGCTGTAGTGAAAGAGCAAAAGTTAAATGCATTTAAAAATCTTTCAGTCTTGTTCTACTCTGGGGTTTTGCAGTTGGAGCAAATGGAGGCGGGCGATAATTGGTAGAGCCATACAGTTACATAACGAGAAGCTTTCCTACTAGAAGTTAGGAGAGCAGATTGCTTGGCCATCAATATGCGACACGTGTTTTGAATCTTCCCACAGTGTCCATGCTGAGGAGTTCAGTCAAGCACTGTATGTTGGTTTGGTAGATTGCTGTGTTCAAATAAAAATGCTATCAACAAATTTTCTTAGGGGTGCAAATGGAGGGGGGGGGGAGGTAAGAGGAATAGAAGTGGTGTTATACCACTTGAGGATGTAAATAGTATTTATTTTGTGTAATTAATGGCAGATATTATTCTTAGATAGAACTTATAACTGTTGATGGCTTTCGACATGAAGGTTGTCATCTAAACTCTTGGGGGAGGGGGACCAACTAGAAAAAAGAGATTATACAATCTAACAGAGTGGTGATAAGAGTGCTGCATGCTATTTTATGGGGAAAAATACCATGTTACTATCACAGAAGAATGCTCGCATAGCCAGCACTCATGAATTGTGTCACCAGTTTCACATAAATATTCAGGAAAGCAGTGACTGGCACATCAGAGGTTTTCTCTGTACCTGGAAGGGGGGTGTGGTTGGTTAGTTGGTTTTGGTTTGGATAGGGGGTTGGTTTTGGGTTTAGTTTTTTTGAATGGAATGACAATATTGATCCTGTTGTTAGTGTATACAGCCAGAGAAAAGTGATACAAGTAAAAAGTATAATGTGTTATTAGACTGAGATGAAAGACAATAACATACAAATACTGCACTACAAGTTGGATTTGGTGTTACAGCTGTTTTATATAATTCTTTTGTATCTATGTGGAGATGTGATTTCATTTTCTCTGTGAGGTTTGTTTATCTGTGGTGGAACAAGACCATTATATTAAAGAGAGCATCTGAAGTCTACTGAAGCTGTGCTGCTATTGCAAGATGAGGTTTATCTTGGACCCTTGGTTTATTCAGTTTCTTTGTAATCACTCTCCCAATTTGAAAATCAGAATTTTTAAATTTTTTTTGGCAAGTCATTAAAATGAGAACCACTCTAAACTGACCTCAGTAACAGTCAGGGTTGTTAACATTTCCTTGTTAAAGGGTCATTGCCAGAAAAGACTTAAACTGGGGTGGTGGTGGCAGCGAGTTCTCCTCTTCCCTTGAGTAGGGGAAACAAAGCAAGGCAAAACAAAGCAGCTTTTGGCACAGCACTGTTACTTAAGCTTCCATGGAGTCCTCCAAAAGCATCATCTAGCTTCTTGAAGGCGTTTAAATCACCCACCACAGTGAGTTTGCAATTTCTTAAGGTAGCTGGGCCAGTCTCTTAAATCTAAGGCACAGGCTGTGGTATCTTCACTCAGCCCCAGCTGCACATCATTTGTGCTCTGTTATGTTTATCGGGGTTGCTCTTGCTAGGGGAGCCACTGATTAGATTGATTTCATTGCAGTGCAGTGAAACAATTCATAATTATATGATGGCAAAAAAAATGGTAGAGGTTAAAGCATGGAAAACAAGTGTCCTCTTATGAAAGGCATGCTTTGGGAAAAGCAAGCAGGCTATTTTCCTATACAGAAACTAGAAGTCGGAAATTTGTCAGTTTAGCCAGTGGCATATGCAGAACAGGCACACTTTGCATTGTATGGAAAGCTTATTAGGGTTTGCGTGGGTTTAATACTAGGAGAAATAAAGGAGTGATGTCAAACAAAACAAAAAAAAAGAGTAACCTTGCTTGAACATGTTCTGTTTTTCAGGATGTCTTTGGTTTGTCTTACTACTACTGCCAGTACTGTGTGTTCTGCTGGGCAGTAGAAGGAATGGAGATAGCTATGAAAATAATTATAGGTCAGATTTGTCTGATGGCTCTCTGTTAGATAGTTGGTAGTCTTTTGTACACACATATATGGATACATGTCATAGAAAAACAGCTCCTGCTGAGCAGCTGCCAGCTCTCACTGGTCGTTTAACTAGAGGATTATGCACAAAACCGACGTAACACATTTCTTATAAGACAGTGACTTCAGAATGTCTTTGCCCAAAATGGTCTTCATGTGGTCAACCTGAACATTGCTGTTCTTCTCTTCTAGTTTGTGGAGACATCCATGGTCAGTTCTTTGACTTGATGAAACTGTTTGAAGTGGGAGGTTCTCCTGCCAACACGCGGTATCTGTTCCTGGGGGACTACGTGGACAGAGGGTACTTCAGCATTGAAGTAAGTTTCTTATTTCTGTTTTTGGCTATGAAAACTGCCTGCAGCCTATTGTGTATGTTTAGCATCATAATTTAACCAGTTCAGAAATACTGAAGCTCTTCACAGATACCACTTGTGAGCAAAAGAAGTCCACGTCAGTGTCACTGTTGGTGTTTCCATAAAGGTTGCTTGATACCCAGCTAAATCCCATGGTATCTGTGCTGTAAAACTAACAGAGAATGGACCTTGGTACTAATCAGTGGCCATCCAAATCCAGTGCAGAAGGCTGTCTGCTCTGCAGCTTGAAAAAGCTAAATAGGATGAATAGGCATGACCTACTAGAAAAGAGACATAACAGAAGAAGTAAATGAACAACTAGTAGTTTAGTTTGGCTTCTAGGTTTATTTGGTCTGAGTCTCCTGGATGCAAAATTTTATGAAAATTGAAGGACTAGATAGGGGGGACAAAAAGCCTGAAGATAATGTGTTGTGCTGGGGAGAATGAATGAGTTCTGTTTGGATGTGGTATGCAGGAGTGCATGGTCTCTGTCTTTTGATGCAGCACATGAATCCACAGAGAAGTGATGTATCAGGTTGTTAGAACGTGGAGGTCAAATTGACAGCATCTTTAGTTGGCTTGCAACTGAATCAGTGTCCTCTCCAACCTGCTCACCTTTGACTAGAAGTGAGTCAAACACCAAGCACAAATCTTTTGTTCCAGTGCTCATAAAACACACTACACTATTTCTTCTGTGTTGCTGCTTGGTTTTACAGACTGACAGATGAGGTGCACAATTACCAAATAAAGCCTCATCTGGGTTTTTTTCACCCAGGTCATAGTTAATCTAGTCATTAACAATCAGAAACCTCTGCAGTACCTTCAGAGCCACAGCTTGACTTCTTTCTCTGAAAAGTTCAGACTTGAACCCCCTCCAAGTCAGGGGAGAATACCCATTACCTGTTAGAAGCAATATAGGTCCTCTAATGCATGGCTGTGTATCTGTGACTAGGTATGATGACAATATGCTGTTCCAAGTGCAAATGCTCTAAAAACTTATGAATTGCAAGGTTCTTTCTCAGTCTTTTACTAAAGTCAGCACCTTGATCATGGGGTTTTTTGAGCCATGTGTGCCTGCTTCCTCCTTTCTCTGATCCATGGTGAGCTGTGGATTCCCATGTTGGATTGCTTAAGGAAGGTTGGGAGTATGGGGGATGATTTACAGGCTTAAACCATTGTGCAGCTCAATCTTGAGCTACCATTTTTCCATTGCAATGACCTAGTTTGCATCTCCTGTAGACTTTGACCAAGCCAAGTTGCATCTAGAAGAGGAGAGTTTTATCTGCATTTCCGTATATGTTTTTAATGTAAGAAATAGAACAAGTGGATTTGCGTCAGCTTTCAAGTGCTTGTCTGACAGTTTGTCAAAATCTACTCCAGGGCTATTACCAATTAAACACAATAGCAAACCATATAACACAAAGCAAAATAGCTTATGGGTGGGGAACAAGCTCCTTAAAATTCCTCATTTAGCAACCTGCACAGACATATTTAGCAAATTACATTTTAATTTAGTTTTTCCATTCTGGAACACTACTTTTTCACTGGAAGCAGTACTGGCTTGTGCTGTTTTTTCCACCTAGGAAATATCAGCGTTGTCGCTTGTATTATTCTTTTTTGTATATAAGGTTCTCAATCAGCAGTACTTTTTTGGTCACATAACTTGCCACCTGACACCTTGATTAAAGAATGCCTTTGAAAGGAAAGGCAGGTTTCTGTTTTGTAAGTGTATTTGGATGTAGAGCCGTGCGTTCAGATACGAACTCAGAACAGTAAGGAATGACAAGGAAAGGAAAATGGTGAGGAATGCAACTTGGCATGTTGGAGAGGGGAGGGTGTGCTTTTGATGGAGATGGGGCCCTGAGCACATCTAACAGACACCAGCTCTTGCCAGTACTTTCTGTTGGAGAGATCGTGGTGGTAAACAGTCCTAGCGTGATCTCAGTGCACACTTTTACCACATCAGTCATGCAGTGATCTTTATTCCATCAATCTGTTGGCTCGCCTTTCTGCTATGTAGGCATGAGACTAGCTCTGGGGTCTTTCCAAAAGAATTAAGTATCTGGTCCAAGGTACTAATCATGAATAATATAAGATTTTTTAAAAAATTCCTTTGATTGCCATGTGATATCTAGTGTAAAAGTGATACCATTGAGCTTAAACCTAGCTGAGTTCTGGTAGTGGGCGAGATAATCCTTGTCTGTGGGCTGCAAAGCAAAGCATTTGGGAATCTTCTGGATGAAAGGTACTATATAATGTAAGCTATTATCATTAAGAACAGAGGAAGAAATTGTATAAGGTAGGTGGAAGGCATTTGATAATGCAGAGGGAAAAAGAGAAAAGTGTTTGTATAAGGCACCCAGCAGAAATTACAGTTCTTGCCCCATGGAGCTTTTGATCCAAGGGCTCAATCCTTCATGTGTGTGCTCCATTTTTACCAGAGCTAGCTCATTCGCTTGAAAGTGGGGGAGGGTGGTGCGTGTTTTGTGCCTTTAAAATTAGTTCTAAGCAAGGTATCACAGGATGAGAGACCAATAAAGGAATTGCACCAGGTCAAACATATGTCAAAATTGTAGGTAGAATGATATGAGGTTTCTTGGCACAGACCAAATCTTAATCCTGTAGCTGTACTCTCTTTTCCATTTGACCTTTTGTCAGAGCCTAAGCATTTCTTCTCTTAGAATAACAAATTTCTGCAAGTTGCAATATCTGAAAAGGCGCACTTGTTTCCTCGGCTCCATGACTGATAACATTTTCCTGTTGTGCTTGTGCACTGTTCCAAGGAGTTGACTCCAGAGTAGAAACCCCTCAGTTCCCACTTTTAAACAAGTTTTTTTTTTTTTGTCATGGAGAAAAGAAACCCAAATTATCAAAACAGAGGGCTATTTTTAAATCCAAATAATATTAAAATGGTTCTGCAGGAATGGGTTATAAGGAAGAATGACTTAATCCGGAGTCTGAAAACTCTTTTGAAAGGCAGACGCAAATGCCATGTGGTGTAGAGGGAAGTATATACATATAGACTGCTTTTCATCAGTCTTGGGAAAATTACAGAGTAAATACTGACTATATGGATTAATAATATTATAGAATCTTAGAATGGTTTGGGTTGGAAGGGACCCTCAAAAGTCAAGTAGTCCAGCCCCCCTGCGATGAACACGGACATCATCAACTAGATCAGGTTGCTCAGAACCTGATCCAGCCTCGCCTTGAATGTCTCCAGGGATGGTGCATCTACCACCTCCCTGGGCAATCTGTGCCAGTATTTTACCACCCTTGTTGTGAAGAATTTGAACTTTTGGCATTATTTTCTGCTCAATCTCACATAAAAAAGTACAGGCTTACGTGTCAATGGAGTATAAGGTACAGTGATCATTTTTTAGAGAGCAGGTAGTTAAGATATGCAGAATTAAACCAATGTTCAAAACTGATAAAGCTGGAATTGCTTTTTATGGTTCTAAAGGAGCATACATCTTCATTTCCCAAACACAAACACTGAAATTCCAGGAGAAACTGTTTCTGTGGTATTTCCAGCAAGAACTAAGGGAGGCATTTGAAGTGAGTCTGGAATTTGATCATCAGACCTCACATAAATTAAAAAAGCATCTGGTACTTGAGATGTGTCTGAACTCAGTGAACTGCTAGAAATAATTAACTGATCCCTCCCAAGAAAATAATGAAATAAGTTCATGTTAGTGAATTGTGGGTGTAGTTAATGCTAGTGAAATTATGTGTTTATTATCTCTCAAGTCTCTGTGCACTTTCTAGGCCTTTGTTGGAAGAATAAACACTTTTCAGTTTCTTCCTTTGCTCTCATGTATTAGTATTTCCCAGTAAAGAGTTTGATATAAAATTTTTTTGGCTGGTCAGTAATAGATCATTGGTGAAGTCAGTTGATTTTTTTCATTTCAGAGCAAAGAAAATCCTGATACCTTAATAATCCTTAGATTTTCTTTCCCTTTTTTTCTATATAACAGCAGCAAATACGTTTCTCTGCAGCAAGAATTTGCATCTTGTAAGATCTCGTTTTTGCTGGGCTGTGCTCCTCAGAGCTGTGAATATTCAGAAATTCAGCAAATTCAAATTATTTTTGTATATATTAGATGCCAAGAGCCCCGTATGGCTTGCAGGGAGAGAACACGGGATGGTGCCCTAGAGGTCGCTCCCACTGTTTCCCCCCTGCCACTGCTTCCATCTCTCTGAGAGACCCATCTTCACAGAAAACAGCTGGGGCCAAGATACAAGGTCCAGTGAGAATAGCGAGGATCCAGCACTTGGGTACCTGTTTAGAAAGTACTAGCTATAGAGAGATGTATTAAAAAAAAATGAATTTCCTAGCCACTTTTTGGCTGAAGAATTGATCCTTCCTTTTGGACATTTTGAGGTCCTTTCAAAGGTTGAAACAGAGTAATCTGGTCTAAACACTTAGAAAAGAGCATAAGGCAAGTACCAATGTTTTGGTGATTGCTTTTAATAAAATTATCTCAGAGACTAGCTAGAAGAGAGTCTTGCAATAACCAAAGTGTCATGCAGGTATCAAAACAAGACCCTAAAGCAGCTTGGGAATATTCAGCAAATGTTTATTGAAAAATATACAGAAGTTGAATGATCAGAATGAGATTATTGACCATTTTAGAAACAGCTGAGACCATGACCACAAGGAATGAATTCACTGATGCTCCACAAGAAGTCTATTCTCACAGCAGTGGCCTTTTTAATTTTTTAATACACACATGAGCACTAGTGTTAGAAACGGAAAACCCAGGTGAAATAAAAGCACATTGGCAAAGAAGTCGTGGAGAAGACAGTAAGTTGTCACTGAAGATCTGGTTCATGCAAGTAGCGCTACTTTGTTGTCCCTGTGCTGCAGCAGAGCCTTAAGAGAAGAATTATCTATTATGCCTAAAAGTTGGGGAAAAAAAGAATGAAATCTGAGTTGTAGTGAAGACAACACAATTTTTTTCATTTATTTTCACTAGTGTTCAGAGTTTTCCTGTGATCAAGGGATTTTAGCTCAGAAAAGGCAATAACATGTATCTCTTGTCAGTATTTTGTTACAGATGCAATGTATCTTTATTTGTCCCTGAAATAAAGCCCTAATAAATAGCCATGCCAACAGTGTGAATGCAGTTATGTGTGTTAAATAAAAAATATATATACATATACATGGTTTCCATTGGGAGTTACTCCATTTTAGAAAGCTGAGCCTGTACTAGGTTTTGTGATGATATAATTATTTCAATGCAGATAAAGTAATGCAATTTTTGTATTTAGGTGTGGTGTGTTAGCTACAGAGTAAAGGAGTTATGCCAGTGTACCATCCCACAGTTCACAGAGCGTCAATAGAGACCTTAGCTCAAATTATCCTTTTGAGTACGAATTACCTTGCTTTTATTCACACTTAATGTCAGTTGCTGGGGAAGTGCCTGATGCCATCAGTCATGTGGAAGGAGAGAACCACACATCTAACAGAGCAAGCTGCATCTCCTGCTTCCTGGCATTGATCACAGCAAGAGCACCCAGAACAGACTGTGCTGTGTTACAGGTGTTGCTGTAGATGCGATCTAGCGGCAATAGTAATGATTTTTTTCAAGGTTGTTTGTTTTGAGCGCATACGTTGAGATGCGTGCAAGAAGGTCTGGGGCTTTCAGCCTTCCTTTTCAGGAGGCGCTGAGATGTCAAATTGTGCAAAGGCTCAAATTCAGCATGCAACAGTGGGGTTAAATCCAAAGTCCATTTTGAAAATATGTGCCTTTGGTTTACACAGTGCTTAATTGCACAGACCTTTTCTTTCCTGATGCTTAGGCTGCCAGGAAAACAGCTTGACTATAGGAGCTGGAAGGTAGGCAGGTTATCTCTTTGTTATACATTTATCTGCTATTTCAACTGCTGAAAGACACTAAGCAAGTAAGCAGAGTTACAGTTTGATGACTGGCATTTAAGAGATGTAACCTTTTTTCCTTTTTTGATAGTATGAAATGAGACATGTCAAAAAATGCTTTAGAGATGTTCAGATTGCAAGGTCACTGCTGTGCATTTTACATAGAGCAGAACTGATATGTAGTAGTATATTCCTGATGAAAAGGTTGGAGGGGTAAAAAGAGATTTTAAAATTTTGCTATTGGGAAGCAGTATTGCCAAATAACTGAAGACTGTAAGCTCGGATTTCCAACAACAGCAAATTATGATGAATCTTTTTACTTCAGTAAGAATTATGAAGTGCGGCATTAGGGGAAAAAAAAAAAAAAAAACCAAACCAGAAAATGTTTATTCATGAAATGTTGTTTGGACATAAGGTTTTTTTATATGTAAACGACTGAAAGTTGAAAAGCCATGAAAAATTGTCACCTTCGTATTTGCTGTTTAGTTTGCATAAAACAGCTGCCTATTAGTTCTTGTTTACTATTATGATACTCCATCACTGGACAACTGAACAGAAAAGGGAGAAAATTAACGGAATCATTTAATCAAAATAAGCCTTCAATATGGTAGCACTAAAAACATCACAAAATGTGAATGGGGGACTTGCATTACTTGAATAGTGGCAGGAAAGCACAGAACTTTCTGGACTGCATTGATCCTCTGTTATCTTCTCTGGTTCTAACGAGTGCTTCAAAGGAAGCATAGAAAAAAAGAAATCTATGATAAGCAAATGTGAAGAGATCTACCCACAAGCAAGTACCAAATGCCAAAAAGATAAAACTTCCAGCTTTCCTTCTTTTCCCTGCTACCCAAATCTGGATGATATTTTGAGTGCCTAGTGCTTATTTCAATATTGCCAAGGCATTATGAGAATGAAAAACTTAGTTAAAAGGGAAATGTAAACCACTCTTTTTTTTTTTTTTTTTAATGTAACATTTCATCTAAGCACTAATCATTGTGCTTCTCTAAATTATAAGGTGCTTTGGCAGGATTAGAAGCTCTAAGATAACTTAGATACAACTTTGAAAGGAATTTTTCTTGCACGGATGGAGGTGTCACTTTAAACTTCTTGTCTCACAACATTAACATCAAATTTTTGCGTCAGCCAGGAATTTCAAAGAAGTGGAAGGTTTCGGGAATTCTTGGAGGAATGAAGAAGTCATCAGCAAAGAGCTGGAGAATTGCGCTGGTGATGTGCAAAAGTACAGGCTTCCTCCCCCATGGAAGTTAAATCAACCCAAGTATGCTGGAGCTTGCACAGAGAAAGGCGGCTTTCCCCAGGCAAACTCTTTGCAGTAGCTTTGGGCCACAGCAGAAAATTCCTGTGACCTAACACCATAATTCTAAAATGAATTATGTCAGCGTGATGTACCTGGTGTTCTGACTTCTCACTTCCTGCAGTGGCAACAGCACCTGGGAGGTGGAAGAGGTGGTGTGAGCTGAGAAGTCTTCTGTGTGTTTCCAATGGGGAGGATTAATTTTGCCAGTCCCGAAGGATGCTGCCTGTACTTTCCTGCTCTTTTTACCTGGGTCTAGAACCTCTGAGGAGAACAACAGAAATTACAGTGTGCAGGCAGAGCATCCAGATGTTTACGTGTAGTAAATTCTAGACAAACAGTAGTAGTATAAAACCCCTGCTGCTGTGTAATTATCTATGGATAAAGTAAGGTTTAGCATCAATATAAAGATGTTGCATCCTTTTTTTTTTCCTTTTTTTTTTTTAAGATAAGGACTGTTGTAGCAAATAAGGGAGAAGAAATTAAAATGTTGAGACATGATTATCGTAATTATGCAGTTTATCAAGACATTCTGAATTCTAGAAGGGAATTTATACTGTACAAAGTAAGAGGCATTACACTGACAAAATGCTGATTTTGCTCTAAGCAGAAGCCATGGTTAGGAGTACATTCTGCATTTCCAATCTACTGATTATTAAATTAAATACAGTAAATAGTTTTTGTTAACAGAACAAAGCGGAGTGTTAGGAGGTATTTGCAAACGGAGGGGGAGAGGAGCTTGACACCTTTTGTTTCTTGTGCAACAGTTCTGCAGTTCATAGACATTTAAGAAAGAAAGGGTTGGAGGAGAAATAGTTCCGTTTTCTAGCTCATGTTTTGGGAGGCCGTTGTGGTCTGTACAACATTCTTGGAGGTGGCGGGCTCATCTCATGGGATGAATGGGTCTGATTTCCATGAACTTCCTTGGAGCTCTGAATTTGTCAGCCAGGTACCTGAGAAAGTTTATCTTGCACAAAGGATAAATATTCCATGAAGTTTGCCAGTTTACTCATTTGCAGGAGTGTCATAATGTTTTGGTATCATTGCCGTGTCAGTTTTGTTTTTCAAAACAACTATTTTAATCAGATGGTTTCGGGAGCTCTGAGCAGAGATTAGCCTCTCTGAGTCTTCTATTTTATCTTTAAAAACATGTCTAGAAGGAATGTCATCTCAAATAGAAATCTTCTTGAAAGATAAAAGTCTTTATGGAGACTTTGTAGTAATTTCATTTAATACAAAAGTTTTGTGTGTTTTTTTCCTTGGTTGTTTGTACAGAACAATGGTAAGTGAAAAATTAACAGGCATTCATGTTAAAACTGTGTAATACTGGAAGCTAAGGTATTTCCTGAAGTGTGGGTTAAATTGTTCTAGGGCAACTTTTCCTTAACCCAGGAAATGCAGATCTTCCGGTGAAATTGTTTCCATGACGGGTTTCTACCTAACCTGCCAGGTCGAGAGTGTGCATTTCATTTTAGAGATGCACAGGAATTACTTCTTGATAACCGGGCCACTGAAAGCAATATGTGGCTGAACAGGGAGATACTACTTAGCAAAAGTGAAAAAGCTCTACCTGTATACACTGATTCTGGTTTCTGCCAGTCCAGGTTGAAGTGCAGAGAAATGTTTGCATGTAATGTGTGAAAAAAGAGCGAAGGTAACCCACTGAAAATAAATGTTTCACGCACAATACTTTCTCTTCTAGGTTTTTTGGTGGGGGGAACATAAGTGAATTAGGTCATTAATTATGACTTACATCTTTCTTTCTTTCTGATTTGCAGTGTGTGCTGTACTTGTGGGCCTTGAAAATCCTTTACCCCAAAACACTGTTTTTACTTCGTGGGAATCATGAATGTAGACATTTAACAGAGTATTTCACATTTAAACAAGAATGTAAGTCTACCTTAACATTTCTTCTCTTAACTCCCTTTTCAACAGCTTGATTTGTTATTTTGTGAGTATTTGATGCTGTTTAGCGCTGGTAATTTTAAATGTACTTTTCTTGTTAACTGTCATTAAACTGTAATTGCTGTACCCTGGGAGGGAACGTCTTGCAGGGGCTGGGGAGGGGGTGTCAGTGTTGGAGACAGGAAGAGGTTAAACACCTCACAGCAGGTAATGACCTATACAAATCCAGGGGTGTCATTACTTGGTGCTGCAGGTATTTGAGTCACTTCAGCTTGCCAGCCAGCCTGGCCTGGGAGGTGGCAGCCTGAGGCTACGGCAGGACCATCTGGGCATCAATGCTCTTGGTAAAAAACACTACTTTTTGCAGTGGCTGACAGTTTGCTGCCCCACGCAGCAGCCTGGCAGTCAAAACCTGCCAGCACACTGGCTCTGGTACCTCTGCGACAGGTCCCTGTCACTAGTGGAGGAGGTGGCATCTTACCCTGTCTCATCTGCAGAAGGGGAAAAATACAAGGAATGTGTATTTTTGATTGTTTTGGGTTTTTTTTTTCCTCCAAGTGTAGCATTTTCACATTTACCCTGTAAGTAAGCTTGAACTTTTCAGTGTGCTCTTTTTATAGGAATTCCTTTCTGTGTTGCAAGAAAGGATTCTGTGACACATTAAAGCTCATTAGATGTAGACCTTCACCTGCACAATGAAGCTTTGTATTTTCTTCTGTGGCACTGTAAGCTGAAGCTCTTGCAATAGGTCTGCATTCCCTTTTAGCATCAGGGGTAAAGGAAATGTTAATTGTCTCAAAGGCCTCATGGTTTACTGAGTTTAATATGCATATTGGTAAATTAGCATTTCAGCTTCATTGTACCACCTCATTCATTTCATAGTGGTATTTCTGTAAATAATTTATTATAAGGGACTGATCTAAAGTTCTGATTAGTTTGTAGTATATTGTGTGATAATGATGATAACCATTCAGCAGACTTTTTAAGGCTTCCTGTATAAATTTCATGACAGGCTATAATGGTATTTTATTATTGCTTGCTTACAGTTAGGGTTTTGGTTTGTTTGGTTTTTTTTGTTTGTTTGTTAGAAAAAAACAGTAAACTTGGTAGAACTTTTATTAGTTTCACCTTGGAGTCTGAAGAATTTTTCCAGCAGCAAATAACAATAAACTTAAAGAATTTTTTTGCATGAGGCAGGCTTTGGTATAGTCTTCAATGCAAGAGAGAGCAGTGAGAACAAGATTGAGTTATTAAGCAGCATCCTCATTTCTTTTTTCCTCTTAAATATTGATGGCAGTTTCTGATACCATCTTAATCTTTAAAAGGTAAAATCAAATATTCAGAGCGTGTATATGATGCCTGCATGGATGCCTTCGACTGCCTTCCCTTGGCTGCTCTGATGAACCAACAGTTCTTGTGTGTACACGGTGGCTTGTCTCCAGAGATCAACACTTTAGATGACATCAGAAAAGTAAGTCTGAATACTGCTCAGGTCTAATAAGTGAACAGTTAATTGCCAACATCTAAAACTTAAATACTTTTTCACTTCTTGTCCATTTGTGTAAGATGCTTGTATATCATTTTGACATTCATGTTACATTATTGCCTTTTAAAGGTCTTTTTAAATAGAACATAAAAGGAATTGCAGCAATTAGTCCCATTTTATTGAGGTGAGGAAATCACCAGCATCCAGTAAAACAAAGGATTTATCATCTTTGTGTTCTAAAAAAAGAAAATAAAAAAGTATTATGTATATAAGTAATTACAAGTGAATTAATACATAGCATGGATGTAAGTACTGTCTACTAGCAGCGTAAGCACACCATCTGATTATTCCTTGTGCCTTGTTAGGCATTCTGTACTTTTTTGGCAAACAGATAAAAACAGTTCTAGAAAAAAACTCAAAATATTTAAAGCATTTAATAAAAAAGTATGGTATGATTGCAATGAGTATAGTAAAGATAACATATAACTCATAAAAAGTGTCAAGAGCTTCATTCTCAATAGGTCCTGCCTCATTTTTAATAGTACTGCACTTGAGTACCTAGCACGCTGTCTAAGCGAGGCTTAATAATGTGATGCTTGTATAGTACTCTTATATTTTGAGAATTTTCTACCAATCATCTCATGAAAGTTGAAGGAACAATGTCAAGCAGTCTCTTCGCATAATCTAGTGTTGTAGTGTGTTATCAAGGATTAATTTTTTTTTCAGGTGTTTTGAAAAAGAATCTCAGTTGATATTTCTGAAAGGAGGTATTTAAACCATTCATTCTCAGTATTTCCAGCAGAAAAGACTTTCTTATTTCTTGCTTGCATTTTGAAATTTGCAAACATGGGTATATACCTCTGAGATTTAAAGTTACTGAAAGATAAATTATACCTTGAAGCTAATTTGTGGCCTACTAAGAAATTAATACTTTTTTTTTAAATAAATTAAAAATTGAGCCAGTAATTACATGAAAAAGCAATTAGATTAAGATATTAACCACACTTTTAAGAATTACTGAATGTGAAGTTTCATTTCTGAGGTAGAGCTTCACTATCTAATTAAGAAAAAATATTCTCTGCCTAAAATTTAGCTGGTTTTGCAACAATATGATGGCAGAGTAAAGCTGTTCAGCTCTCAAATTCCAGATTAGGGTCATTAACATCTTCACTTCCCCCCCACTAGCAGGTTAATTCATCTTTGGCAATCAGCAGGTATTGGGTTTGCATATTTATGAATTGTTATTTAATTTAAATGAACTATAGTTACAAAAGCAAAGTTACCAATTATGGTAGAGGGCTGAAATAAGTTAGAAGTGTAGGTATGATATGAATATTTCATGATGAGGGCGCAAAGGTAGAATTGTAGAGGTCTCTTATTAAAACTTTTTAACTGAGTGTTGAAAACATCTAAAAACAGTTCGTTCTTTCTGAATCTTTTTTGGGGACAGCAGGGGGGTATGCTAGGTGTGCTAAGAAATCATTACTTGATCTTTTTGGTCAGAGTAGAGAATATTTTGGACTGCAAGTCTGATTCATAAACCCATCTTAACAAGGGTTGTTTTTATATTCGAGTTCTTGCAGAGGAATACTGATTTTTAATGTTTCACTGTTTTGCTATGCTTTATCTTATTTGCAGAATGATTCTACATGATTTGAATTTTTTAATACAATATTCAGACAGAAAGAGGAATTTTTAGCTGCTTAATTAGGGCTAAGGTTATACGAGCAACAAGAATGTCATGGTAAGATGCTGTAATGCAGAAATGTTGTCTTGGTATTTAAATACTACTTTTTTTGTGAAAAAATGTATTTAAATCAAAATGGGAACTTGGTTTGTAATAACTATTGCATTTTTCCTTGAGGTGCCTCACTCACTTAAATCAAGTGCCATGATGCTTAAAAAGATCGCAAAATACAGAAATACTATCTTCTCTCTTGTCCACTGAAATGCTTGCAAAAAAAAGTAGAAAAGGGAAAAAAAATTGCACTCAGAAATGCATGTAGAGTGGGAATCCACTGTATTTCTTAATTTTCAGTTGTATCTGTTCCTTCTCCTCTTTGTCAGTGTTAGCAAGGAGTGGTTTACTATTATTCAAAAACCATGGCTTTAAAGCTGAGAGCAACCTGCAGCTGAAAAATAGATTGTTTTGCGTCCTTGTTTGCCAACCCATGGAATGAAAACCAGCAACTTTGCTTCAGCATTTCTGTGGTACATGGTTGAAAGAAGTTAGTATTTCTTTGTCTCCTATTTTTCTTAGTTAGATCGATTCAAGGAACCACCTGCATATGGACCTATGTGTGACATCCTGTGGTCAGACCCATTGGAGGACTTTGGAAATGAGAAGACTCAGGAACACTTTACTCACAACACAGTCAGGGGGTGCTCGTACTTCTACAGGTGAATATTACTACATTGAATGGGTTTCTGTACAAGGACTTGTTCTGGTTTTGCAATATAAATGTTTGCTTGAGGTTGGTAGTTCTGCTTAGATAATTGAGCATTTTTGTCTGCAGGCTTGCCTTGTTTTCAGGTAAATTCATGTTTGGTTTATTTTGTATCTTGCTTTCACCCATAACCAGGTAACCTTAAAATGACTTAATTTTATTCACCAAAGCCTGTGCGTTTTGCTTATTTTCTGGTCTTGTAAGTCAGGGAATGAATGTGTCCCTTCAGAAATGTAGTTACCTACCCCTTAAGTTTGAAAGTTAATTTTAAGTTAATTTAACTTAATTTTGAATGAAAGATGCCAGCAATGGAAAACTCACTACCTACTGCTCTGTAGGGTAAGTAAAAAAACGTGATTTTTCCCCACACAGGTACTTTTTTTTGCCCTGTTTTATCAAACTTTTGTTCGGGAATGGTTCTTCCCAAGAAATTCAGGATTTGAACAACATTGGTTAAACAGGACTTGCTAAGAGCTGAAATGCAGACAAGTGCCTGTAACATTCTTTCAGAAACACATATGAACTTAAACGTAAAGACATCAAGTTGTAATTAATCTTTGAAATTATTTCTTTTTATTGATGTTTTTAGTAAAATATAACTGCGAATATTCCTGAATAAAGTAATAGTAATTGGGAGGACAGAAGAACAGTAAGCAAATCTCTTAGTTTGTTACTATTTAAAGGAATCTTTCTTCTGTTTCTTTTCTGCTTAGTGGTGATTGTCCTTTAAGCATGGGTGTAAAGAGTTGGAAGACTCTCTTTCCTGTATGTTAAAGGAGTGGATTTCCTTGGGTGCTGGGGGACGCGCAGATGTTCCCTCTTTGACAATGCACAGGGAGACCAAAACACGCAACAAATGGTTCTCTTTTCCCAGTTCTGTCTGCGTGCTGACTGCTGCCTTTCTCCATTTCCAGTGGTAGGCAGCTTGGTTTGTAGACCAAGTCCTGTGGACACCAGGCAGAAAACACTCCATTAGGTGTGCTTGAGCTGGGGAAGAACCTCTCAAGCACTGCTTGTCTTTCATCATAGGATAGGCCTGTGTTACCACATGAACAGCAGTGGTGATTACATTGTTCCCTCCTCTGTCAGTGTGAGAATTTTGAACAATTCTGGCTTTTTTTTTTTCTTTTTTTTTGTTACAGTACTTAACTAAGTACTTAAGAACTTACAAGGATGCCAGAGTAACAAAACTGGACGTTAAATGACAAAATAAGCAATGTATGCAGTGAAATCTTAATTTAAATATTTATTTTTGTTGTGGAGAAATGTGAAGATGCTATTGGAACGTTAAGAGGTTGTTGAACCTTTGAAAGGGAACTGTTCTATTTAAGCCTGTGCTAGTGACATGCAAGTCTAAGTTTTTCCAACAAGCTCAGTAGAAGTGAGGAATCCACTCTTTTAGTTATCATATAAAATCTCACCTTGGACATAGCTGTCCTGTAGCTGTTAAGTAACAGCTAGAAAGTAAATCAGTGAGTTCTACCAGTAACCAGGATACAGAGCAGCTAGAACCAACCTCCTTGTTGGTAACATTAGCAGGAAGGTAACAGATGGTTTGACTTTTAGAAATTAGTTTTCCTAGTCCTTTTTTCAAGCTGTAATTGTTACAGCACGGGGATGGGCTGAGAACAAAGCGGTCTGCACTGCAGCCTGGGCTGCTAGCATGCACTTTCCGTGGGCAAGTCGTACTGTGCCTTCAGATTGATAATGTCTGGAAGGTGCTCGTTAACGTGTTTGGTCTCATTATGAAAGAAGGTGTCAAACTGTTGCAAACAATTGATCTGTGCAGAACTGGGCTTATGACACTGAAGGCCAAAATCATTCCTCTTTCTCTCAGCAGCACCATACACTTGAGCATGCCTGGGACTCCCAGGCACTAAAGGCAGTGAGTAGTGGTGATTTCCCCTCATGAACGTCTCTTACAAAAGTGGAAAAAAAAAAAGCTTTGCAAACGTATCTTCTTGTTATATACAGAGGTTATTATATACTGGAACAACTTTTAGATCCCCTGCTTTTTGCTTCTTCCCCTCTCTTTCCCCCCAAGCTCTGTTTACCATAAAATCTCCCTAAAATTTGTATGTTTCCTCCTGAAAATATATCCAGTCTGTCCTCTGACTCACATTCAGAAAAGTTGCATATTTCGGAAAAAGAGGAAATATTTGGAAGATAACTAATTGTCAGGTTATGTGTGAGGGATATGTAACTGTTAATGTGAGCAGATGACTAGCTTGGAGTCATCTGAGATTATATAAAGGCAAATGTTACTCTTAAAAGAAGTGCCTAGATGCTCTGGAAGGTCACTAATTGCTTAGCTAATGATAATCCCTGGCAAAAAAAGTATCCATCGCTATGCAACGTCTAATTTTGCTTGACTTTTCTTACTTCCTAGTTACTTCCTGAGAAAAGGAGTAAATTCTCCTAAACAGCCAACTCAGCTTGTAAATGAGCCCTCCTTCAAGACAGTCTGTTGAGAGGATGGGCTGTGTTTATTCTTCAGTGAATAAAACTTTTAAAGTTTCTTCAGTCATTTCCAGAAGGGAAATTAAAAGATAGCAGTGGGGATTTTAAAGGAAGGTCAGGAAGATTTCAGGCATGCACATGAACCAGGGAAATGATTTCTAGATGACAAAAATCTCTTAAGCAATTGCAGGAAATAACTGTAAGAAATAACTTTATCAGACATGTTCATTATAATGGCAAGTTTTGAGTGACTTTTCTCTGATTTAAAGTTATTTCTTGTAACCAAATGCTATGAGGAAAATAACAGTAACGTGGCTTTCTGTGTACATGCAACATATTAACAGCACTTTCCAGCTCAGTAGTACATTAAATCTTCTCCATTCAGCCAAAATTCTTTTGTGAAATTTTTGAGCCGTTTGTATGATGTAAATACACATAAGAAAGTATAAAGACTGTGGCTTACAGTACTCTGACAAGCTTCTCACTGCATTTCTTAGGTGATCGCTCACATACAGCCTACTGACTTTCAAAATGATCAAGTTTTTCTTCAAGAAATTTCTTTCTGTGTAGGAGTTCTCAAGACTCTTCTGGCTAGCTCTGTGAAATGTCAGATCTTGAAACCACAAGTCTAACCTGTGATTTAGAGATGTAAAGAATGGTGAGCATAATTTTCAAGGGCACTAAGAGTCAACACTTCATGCACACCTTTTGCATCCAGCACATTTTGCAGTGTGGATTGTCAAAATTTATGGATTCTTGGAAATAGCAATAGCACAATGCCACAGTAAAAAGTGTGAAATTTGAGTAATTCTTGGAAATTTATTCAAGTTCTCTGTGCCTTAAAGTGACCGAAGAGCAATAGTGGTGAGATTTCATTTCCCCTTTCTGAAATTTCAGCTTGTATGTTCTTCACAGGACATACATGCAACATTGCATGTTTGATGCAATTCCATGAAAAAGTAGAAATAATTAATGGAGTGCTAGTTGTGTAATTTGTTTTTTAGTTATGAGTCAAGTGAAGCTTTTCTTTAATCCTTACCCAAAATAATCTCATATTCAGGGAATGTTATGAACAAGGGGGAATTAGTTTGTCCTTGAGTGATATTTCCCACTCTCTTTCCCCCCAGTTTTTCAGCTGATCCAGCCAGTAAAGAAGTTTTCCTTTTTATCAGAGTATCCATTTTTGCCTTGGATTTACTTAGTGAATACTTATTTGCACTTAGCTGGTTGTACTGATCTTACCAATGACCCATTGCACTGATTTCATGGACTAGTAGTACAGTAACTTGGGCATTTCTACAAGAAATATATCTGACTTGGTAAGATACACTGATACTTACCATCTCGAGAATGGCTTCTTTAAGTGATCAGAAAGCTTGAAGAAGTCAGCTGAGCTTATACTAACTTAATGGGAGACAGCAGTAAGTGGATTTAGGCAATTGTTGAGGTGTGGGGAAAAATCTTTCCTTTCTATGCCATACTGGGATGGGGAACGTCATTGTTACCATAAGATTTACTGGATGGATAAAGAATTAAAATATTCTTTCATCACATTCAGACAAGATTGCTATGAGTGTGCTAACCATGAAAAATTATGATTGGATCTATGGCCAGCTTGTTTCACTTCATTTGTGTAAAAGCTTTGGTAAAGAACATCGGAAATTTGTTTGCACAACTGACTGAATTAGTAGCGTCTTATCCTATGTAAGGTACATCAAGGGCTTCCTATCAGGGGTAGACACGTGCAAGTTTAATACTCACTTTCTGGGATCATTTATCTGTATAAAATTGGTTAATTGCTAACTTTTAATGAGAGCATAAAAGTGGCATGAGCCTGGCCAAAGTCAAAGGATGGCCTCAGAAATAGAGTAGATACTCAGAAGCTTGCTGCAGGTGTGGTGCTCCAGCCTCTTGGGTTTTGTTAGGAGTTTAATATCAGTTTTTAAGGAATGGTGAGCATGATAAAGCTGTTTGACTGTTGACTACATTGTTACATTTTTCATAAGCAACACAAAACCAAAGGCAGACATAGTTAGCAGTGGCAAGAGTGACCAGCGTTGCAGGCTCCTCCAAGAACATAATTTCCCAGCCTTTGACAGTACTGAAATGGTTCAGCCTTGCAGATGTTCTGGGGTAAAATAATATCTTGGTCTTGACAGCACGTCATTTCAGTGGTCTACTTTATATGCACACTAAGTTTGTAAATATGCAGGGATTAGAGAAATGTCTGCTAAAAGCTTTTGAAGACTGTAGCATGTTTCACCTCAGGGTGTGAGGCAGAGTTGTATGTTTTCAACAGCAGCATTTTAAACAGATTCTTTTGCTCACTTTTCCTTCTCCCAGGCCAGAAGCTTTTTGCTGCCCTCACCCTAAATGCCCAGCTCTATTGGTAGAATTCCTCGTGTGCTCCATCAGACCTGGGAACACATCCAATTTTAAAAGAATGACTCTGAGAAGAAGATATGTGTTTATTTGTTCTAATCTCATGCAGTTCCCTACTCTGCTTCTCAGTGCTGCTTTGCAGATAGCATAGCTAAGGGCTAGAAAAAGTAGGTGGAAAGAGATATGCTGGGAGCTGCCTAGGACAGCAGAGCAACAAAAGCATTTGCCTTTGGAGACTGAAGTGTGAGGCCAGTGGGCTTTGCTGAGAGCCTGGTTTTACACATGCCTATAATCTTAGAGAAGCCATTGGGCTAAAATTAGATGTCTTCTTTTTAAAGAAATGTTTATCCCTCTGTTTCAATAGTATGCTGAAAGATATGGAAAAAAAATAGATAATCCATCCATTTTTTCCATTTTTTGGTGGAAGAGCGATTTGAAAACATCTGCCATTTTGGTTCAAATCAGCAAAGTGTTGCTTCTCTTCCAAAACTGAGTAGAAGTAATCAGTGATCATGCAAAAGAGACCTCAGAACGAGTAAACTGTGCATGAGGCATTTTAATGAAAAAAGCATGCCGAAGTAGGGAATAATCACAGTCACATAGTCTATGGGGAATAACAACTCTCTAGCGTAGCAGTGGGGTATTTTGTTTTCTCTGTGAGTCACTGCTCTGCTGTGATTCAGCATGACACATGAAGTACAGGCAGAAGGTTGGGTTGTTGTGGAAAAGCCTGTTGCGTGGGGGGGAGAGGAGGGAGGGTCCTGTTTGTTTGTTTTCCCTCTTGGCCGACTGCTTTCTTTATGGCTCATCTGAATTACAGTCTGGGCTCTGTAAAGCAGGGCAAGGAGGAAAGCATTTCTGGAAGCGTAGCGCTCAGAAAACTAGTAGGGAATTTGACTGAAAGGATCATTTTCATTAGAAAGATTAGAAGAAAAATTTCCAAGAAGTCTTTTCTGTAAAAGCTTGTTTCTGATAACTTTTGCCATAATCTCTGTTTTGTTGGCATGTTGCAGGACTTCCTGCTGTTTACCTGGAGGGCATGCATTTTTGTGTTCAAGAATATTGTTTAATATGAAACTTCAGTCGGGTAGGAACAAACTGTTGTTAAGAAAGCACTGGAAATAAAAGCCCTGTATTTATGGGGGTAATGGCTTTAAACTGAAAAAGTGTTGATTTGGAGTAGGTGTAAGGAAGAAGTTTTTTATTGTGAGAGCGGTGAGGCACTGGAACAACTTGCCCAAAGAAGCTGTGGCTGCTCCCTTCCCTGGCAGTGTTCAAGGCCATGTTGGACAGGGCCTTGAGCAACCTGGTCTAGTGGAAGGTGTCCCTGCCTGTGGCACAGAGGTTGTAACTAGACAATATTTAAGGTCCCTTCCAACTCTACCCATTCTATGATTCTGTTGTCTCAACTGTATAGCATATGTGACATCTGCATATAGTGAAAACCTTGCTTCTCCCCAGCCTCCACTTCAACAAGTAGCTGAAGAAGAATGTCTGAGAGTTGCTTTGCCTTTTTCAAAACAAAATATCCAGATAAACTGCTTATGGGTTGTAGTGGTCTGGGTAATACGAGTGCTTGCTCATTACAGGTACCATGCTATTCACTGAGAAGAAAAGATGGCAGCCAGATTTTTCTTTTTTGTGTATTTGCATGGAGGACTGTGTGACGTCTCTGCCTTTGTAGGTGTGGGCCCTATAGAATCAGCCAAATTCTACTAGTAGAGGTCTATTTTCCACAGATTTATCAAGAATAAGATAATTAAATAATAACCCCCACCCCCCCCCCCCCCCCCCTTTTATACTTCGAAGTGGAAAGAAGAACCTATCATGTCTATGTAGGAGCACTTTTTTTGTACCACTTCATTATATCTTCTTTAAAAGCAGTGCTTAACTGGATGAAAAGAATATTATGGGGGAAAATGTAATAGGCTAGACATTTTGAGCAGCTGCACTGATAATGAACATAATCAACTGTCTATCAGATTTTTCATTATAGACCCCAGTTTTCAGAAGTTAATGTAAAAATTTCTAAACAAAATGTACCATAAGTCTGCATTTAGTCACAATTAATTATGAAAAGAAATGTATGTAAATTAGTTCTCATTTGCCAGTGGTTTGAATGGCAGCTTGTCAGCAGTTGAGATCACTGCAGTTGCCAAAACGATACCCCACGTAATTTGGGAATTGAAATTACTTTATAATGGCAATCTTTTTAGACAATTTCAAATACCAAACCTTCAACTGAGAATATATGCTAGATGGGTCAAGGCCAAAACCAGCAATATACCATTCTATTGGGTTTGTAGGCTCTAGCTGCAAATGACATTTCAGCTTCAAAATATCTGGGAAGGTTGGAAGCAAGAGTAGCATTTCTCTTGGATAAACTGAAGGAAGGTGATGCGTTAGATTTTGCAGATTTTTTTTTTTGTATGAATTTTCATCTCTTTAATGCATGTAGTCAGAAACTGATGGGACTGTTAAGTGATTGCACGTGGGCTCTGAAGGTGGTCCATGAAATCATGGCTGTCACAGCAGGTCTTTTGTACAGTGTTTAGTTGAAGGGGTTTTGTTTGGGGTTTTTTGTGGTTTGGTTTTTTTTTTTTGGTTGGTTGGTATTTCTTTTTGTTTGGCTTTTCTTTGTTTGATTTTCCCCTTTTTTTTTTCCTCCTTGGAGATTCAGAGACTCTGCAAGTTTGTTTGTTATTTATAGGCACACTGCAAGCCCATCGTGCTGCAGAACCAGCACAGAACTGGTCATGGAGATGCTTTAGTGTCTTTCCCAACACCTTATATTTCCTTCTTTAAACCTTTCCAGCTGTTCTATTATTTGAACTATGGGAGAGCTGAGTCAATAGTGGAAAATAAACATGGGAAAAGGATGTTAATGCAGGGTCTATTTTGCTTTTTGTACAGCCTTTGGGTGACATGTCAGAACTGCTGTATGTTTTACACCTTTTGCCACCAGTTTTGATTTATTATTTTTTTTTCAGCAACAGTTTTGGGGTTTTTTTGATTGTTGCTCTCCAACTTGCCCAGCAATGAGAAGAAGGAATTAAGCATCTACATGTCACATCCTGGGTCTCAAATTCAGGAAAATCTATGTCCTGGTCTCAGGTCAGACATTGCTCTGGGGCAGGCTGCGCATGGAAGGCAGCCCAATTCTCCACCCATGCCAGCCTGCCTCTCCACCATGTTGGCCTCAGAGTTAGGGCACTTGGAGCTGGTCAGGCTCCTGGCTGACAGAGGGGCACAGAAAAGTAGCAGTTCCAGTTCCTGTGCCTGGCCAGCTTGTCTTGCTGCTGATGTGCTGGCAACTTGTGGTACTGGAAGTAAATTCAGATAGTGACAGGAAGTGGTAATATTTGTTTCTCCCCACGTTTAATGTTTTAAGTGCAATTCCATTAAGCTGCAAAGGATAAGGCAAAACAAACTGTATACGACTGACCAAAGGAGGGAAGAAAGGGAGTAAGTCTAGATGTCGTCTGAATAAAGACTCCCACCCCTTAGATGTTTTTAAGGGGCCTAGGAATGTTTTGCCAAATCTGTGAAGTCTTTCTTGTTCTGGTGCCGCTTCGCCTTTATCCTTTACCATGCATGTTCTTTGTTCTCTTTTGCTTTTGCTATAGTTGGCTTTTAACAGGGGAAGCCAGGAAGTTTTGGCTTTCCTGGGTTCTGTATTAAATTACTAATGATAGGAGAAGAGAGGTTTTGCTTCCTGAAGTAATAGATGGTCATCGTGTTTGTTATCCTTTAGTACAGTCATGGAGAGTCATCAGTGGTTTAAAAGCAAGAAGAAAATAGGCATTACAGAAAAAAAACTTTATTTTTGAAAGCAACAAAATGGAGGAATTTTAAGTTCTGCAATGCTTAATTTTAAATAGCTTTTCTTTGAAAACTTAATTTCTCACACTTACACTGTCAAAACTGTTATGTTTTTGTTTTTCTTGTATGTGATTTCCATATGTGTTCAGTGTCTTAAACAGCAAAAATGGTTTTCACAGTGCTGAGGTTGTAAGAAAGGGCTCCTCCATTCGCCTTGAAAGCAACACTGTCTATGTGCAGTGAAAAATATGTTAGAGATTCCTCTATCATCATTTTCACCTAGTGATTTTGTTTTCATACAGTAGAACACATATTGGAAAGATGCATTCAGTGAGCACATTTTCAGGGTTTCAGAAGTCATAAATTTACATTTTAAGTTGGGGAAAAGATAGCTCTTGTTCATCAAGGAGATCAAGTTCAGAAGATCAAAAATCTCCAGTTGGGAGATTGAGTTGTCTTTTTTCGTTCTTTCTCCCTCTCTTTCCACACACCACCTTATTATCTGGTGTCCATAAGCAGCCTGTGCATTAGTGGGTGAGGAGGTTTTCTGTTACAAGTAACCGTTGTATCACGTTTTTTTTCTTCAGAGTACATCAAATGTTAAAGTATAATAAAAGAAATCATTTCTGACAGGCAATAGGTGATTTTTGTTACGTAGTGAATTGCACCTCTCTAGTATTCCTCTCCACGCAGGTATGGGGTGGAATTAAAAAAGGTGCTGCTGCTAGTATTGTCTCTACTGAAATCTGCCTGCAGAGCAGGGGCTGATTTCATGAATGATGCATGTGGGACAAAACGTTTTTAGAAAGCTAGAGCTAAATGTGGAGCTTCTGATAATGCGATAACACATGTTATTATTTTGTTTGAACAGTTACCCTGCAGTATGTGAATTTCTACAGCACAATAACTTGTTATCTATCCTCCGAGCTCATGAAGCCCAGGATGCTGGGTAAGTGTGCATGGAGAGGGGTCACTAATAATGTATAATGGTTTAGTGTTCTCAAACAGAGCAAGTAAAGAAAGAACAACTGAGTGAGAATAAACTGGAAAACTTAAAGTTAAGTTGCAACAGCCCTCACTTTTTAGTAATATTATAAAAACATACACTGGCATTAGAACATATTTTACATTATTACTGAGTTATAGGACTTAATGAATCCTCATATGTCCCATTTACTTGGCTTCACTGATTTTAAGGGGCATAAAATGACCACAAGTTTGTCAAGTTGATGCCAAACTTGGGAAGGAAAACAAATCAGCTCAGAAAAAGAAGTTTTATAAATGTGCCTGAGACTTCTAACACACTGGTTGCCACGATGCCTGGGAAGTGATTTGTCTTTATGAAGGCCAGAACTGTCATCTCTTAAGTCTTTCATGCCTACATGAAACTTATGGTCCTACTGTTTTTATGCTTTATCAAGAAAATTCACTTCTGGTACTCCTTAGCCCAAACAGATTTTATGCAGGAGTATCATCGATGAATTTAATGTATGCAAAAACAATCCAGGTCAACCACCAAGGAGTGTTGATGGTTCCCTCATGGAACTATGGCCTGTGTAAAGACAGAATTTTTTATGCTGCTGTAAAATATTAAAATATTATCCATTCATTGAAATGTACTGTTCTTGTGGGATATTAATGAAGGATTGGTATCTGATAAATAGCTTTGCATATCTTGCGGAAATTATTAATGTGCTTATTCAGAGGTAGAAACTTACCCAACCTGAATAGTAATAAAAGATGAAGTAACAAGATTGTAGGAATGAGGTCGGTAGTTGCTATGCATATGAAAAGCTATTCTGAATGTTTGAATTGTCACATACTTAAAAATGTCAATGCAATTAAAAGCAAGCTATTACTCTGCCAGAAATAACTGACATGAAATACCCAAGGGTAATGAAATTTCATTTTTATTGTATTGCTTTCCAATAAAGGGTGAAAAAGAAAATTTTGTAGAAAGGATTGCATTGAAACTATACAATGGTTGCTGTGCAACTATTGTGCATGTCTGCCAGGTTCTTCAGTTTCTTGTAGCTGAAGACTGAAGAGCAGTATTTGCAGTTACTTATGTCTTAGTAAGACAAATACTGTTTGGTTGGTTTGCTTGCAATTGCTACAGGTTTAATGCTTGAGTAATTATATGTTGGTCACATAAACCTTTTATTTTTCATAAGGCAGTGAGGTTAGGTAATGAAAGCCTGTGCAAGCAAGTTTACTAATGCAAGCGTTAGTAAACTGGCTAATAGACCGGATGAGATTAGACACAGCACTGAAAATATTGGACCCCCTGTTTCCCCTCACCTTCCCATACTTTCCATCTCCCCTGGCCTTGCCATCACTTGCCTGCCCAGAGAGGGCAGGGAGCTGGAGTGTCATGGAGGAGAAACACTTCTCTTAAGGCAGAACTGTGCACCTCCAAGGCATGTACTGGTGCTTGTGTTCACCTGCAGTCCCACAGAAGGAAAGTCTGGGAACATCCTGAGGTGCACACACATAGAGGCCACCTCGCTCCAGGATGGTCACTGAGTGAACTTGTAACAAAACCCATCACTAAGTTTCAGATGGGGACAGAGGTTTCAAGCATGGTGCGGGTCCCTGGCCATCCCAAATAGATATAACAAGTAAGCCTGAAGGAAATACTTTTTTCCACTTTAAAAATCACATATGCATGTTTTTCTAACTTCGTATTTGTCAACAGCCACTGCAGTAATGTACTAGGGGGTTTTGCACTATATTTGGTCAGTGACAAATATACATAACAAACACTGGGCAATAATTAGTATCTTCCCTTTCCTTTCAGGTATCGTATGTACAGGAAAAGCCAAACAACAGGCTTCCCTTCACTAATCACAATTTTTTCAGCACCAAACTATCTAGATGTATACAATAACAAAGGTAAGAATTTCATTCCTGTTAATACACAGTAGACTCTACTTCTCTTTACTCAAATATATTACAGTGGTTTTCTTTTTCACTCCTTTCTCTATCAGTTCATTCCCGTTTTCTTCCTCTATTAGTTCATGCCCATTCCATTTATTACGTAATGCAAATCTAATTAAATTTATTGCAGGCAGATGTGTGCCTCTGAACATAACTATAGATTGTAATATGCCTTAGGATATTTCTGTTCTTCAACTGCAAGTTACTAAGTAAGTGTTACACAGGAAGCAAAACTGCAAACAGCTCTATTAACTAAGAGAAGCATATTAAGAAATGCTCTAGGTGAGATGTTCAGAGCCCAGTGTTGCTTGTAATTGTTTGTCCTTTTGCTCCTTTCCACTAAAATTAATGGAGTTTGTATATGCAAACCTTCTAGCCAGCTAACACTTTGGCAGATCATCAGTGGATAAAGCAAGGGGATAGATATTGTCTGAGTTCCTTTATGTTTTGGGTTTTTTAATCACTTGAAAACTATTATGTAGGAAATTAAATATCATTAGCAAAAAAAAAAAAAAAGGTTACAGCACAAATAAGCAGTCACTGGTCACAAGTGTTTGCAGTTTCTCTGAGTTTGTTAGTTCATTGCATTCTCTGAAATCTCCTCTTATGAACTGGAAACAAAATCATGTTTCTAAAAATAAAGTATTCTAATAAACCTGTCCTTCTCTATCTTGCAATGAGCAGTACTGTTTGCTTTACTCCTAGTCCCAGTAAAGATAAAGTTATTTTTGTTCCTCTGTGAGAAAAACAAAACATTTTTTTTCTCAGTGATACTCTTGAAAGTAGCTCCACTGCAAAGAAATCAGTCCTTGAGAAGAGATATTTCTAATTTGGATGCTTGCCAGCAAAGGAAGTAACCAATTTTTATTTTTTTTTCTTAAATATGCAAAAGAAAGCTTCTTCAGGCATCGTTTTATATTATAAAACTTTCAATCTAAAAGCTGTTATGCCATGAACTGTATGCAAGAGAAGGAAACACTTCACAGTTGGACAATGGGGTCTGTACACATTGGTGTTCTCAATATGCTTGTTAACTTGTGTAAAGATTAATAAGAGCATTCTGCAAAAAACATGCAAGCAGAGCTGTCGGTAGCTACTTTTTTAAAACTGAATAATACAGGGACTCTGCTAGCAACCCAAGAAGCGCAGGATGAAACAAGAAATGTGTTAATTTCTTGGCAGCATCATTGCTGTTGGTGGAAAAGTGTATTTACTCTCTGGGCTGCTGCTTTGGGTAGAAGGCAGACCAGTGACAGGTCTGTACAAGTGAGATGTCAGAAAGTGTTCACCTTTTGTTTCTTAATGCATGGAGGCAGCTCTGTGCACACAAAGGCAAAAGGTGAACAATGGGGATTTTTGTCATGAGGACAACTGTTAAATGTAAAGCAGTGATTTAGAATGTTCAAAATCTTGAATTTGAAATCACAAAGTTTGGGTGGTGAAGAGAAGGGCCTTTCCATAATCTCTGTTTCAGAAGAGAGAGTCGTTTCCCTTGTTCCATAATGCTCCAGTGTAGCAGGCAGGTCTTAAAACTGTTGGAAAGCCTTTTTGGTGAAAGGCTGTAAGCCAGCTTCTGAGAGGCGCTGGTTATCTGCAGTCACAGCTGAAGTTTGAGTGCTTTGGTAGTGATACCTGGTCTGAGTGAGCTCACGCAAATCGGGAGTGGTGCAAGATCGGTACCGATGTGCCACTCTCTATTGTATGGCTTGTTGTAAATGTAGAGGCTGCCCTTTAGCAGCTTTGATTTCCATTGTGTTTAACTGCTTCCTTTTCCTCTCATCAGAAGTTTTCATGCGTTATTTCATGTGACTGATTGCACTGGCTCTTGGCATTTAAAGTGCATCATGCATAGTTTTCATGCTGCTTTGCTCATGCATCTCACCTGGATAGCCGTTGGGTACTTGCTTCCTTCTTCAAGAAAGAAAAACACCATCGTCCTCAATCGGTCCAAAACATGTCTACTTGTTGGCTTCCTTGATTTGCAGCAGATTATTTAAATAAGAACACAGAGTTCCTGACTGGCTGATTTCAGGAGGCAAAGGAAAGTTTTTCCATCCAGAGGTGTTACAGGAGGGTTGCTGCAGCTGACCGATCACACACTGGTGCGAAACATGCCTGATTTTTACAGATTTTGGGGTTTGGTTATTGTCAGCCCTCAGAAAAGGAGTTCATCTCCTGCTAGTAAATGCTTTTCTTTCTAGTATGCATTCTTAGTATGCTTCTGGTTGTCATTTAGTTAATAAAGTCACTCTAAATAAATTCCTGAGAGGCTCCAGCTACCACTGACATGAATTTTTAAATTTTAAATTTAAATCATTTTATATGAACTGTTGTTTAAGATGAATTTTTTTTCAAGAAGGTGCATGGAGCTAGAAATGCTCATTTTCTACCCCAGGTTGATAGTTCTCATACCCATTAAAGCAGATGTACTTTCTTGTACTTCTTCAAAGCACTTCAGAAGGACTGGGCTTGGTTGCCAACTTTATTCTTATGAAGTTGGCTTACTCAATCCCTGCTGGAGAGCAGACTCTGGGATCAGATATGTCCTCAAAGAGCAGTGGGGAGGCCACATTCCCAGAGCAAAAGGAGGTTTAGCGGGAGTAGCTGAAGGTAAGCTACCCGAACAAGGCCATATTCAGCATATCTGCTGTTAATAATGCTGCCATGAACCCTCTGCATGGGCTGTCTCACAGTACTGACCCAGCATGGGAATCTCTTTTGGCTTTGCGCTACCCAACTCCAGCACCAAAGGGAGTGTTCTGTATCCTTTGGTTACTGGCCATTGCCTCATGAAGGCTGCATGTGTAATTTATCTGTCATGTGGCTGCTGGGTCATGCTGCAACCTCAGCCCACACACATGCACAACTGCGGGTGCCAAAGTTAAGTTTTTCAATTAGGAGGCTCCTGTCAGGGGTTCCCTGTGTAGTTAATGGAGACAGAGAGATACACTTTCAGGAGGTGATTCAGAGACTTGGCAACTGCCTAGATATGGGGAGCCTAGAGTCCCTCCTCTTTCCAAGGCTATCTTTCTTCATTATTGTTATTAATGCCTTCCATATTCATTATAATGGAGAGCATTGGCAAAGCTGGGGAATTTGTACATATGGTTTTTGGCAACTTCTGAGCTTCTGTTCAGTGTCTTCATAGCTTTCTCTAACATTTCTGCTCTCATTTAGATTATTAAAAGGCGTAACGAAAAACATACTTTAAGATCATTATTAAAACTTGTTACAAGAAATACCAGTGTGTTGATCAATTTTCTAAGACTACCCCTTCTGGAGAGGATCAAAACTCCTCATGCAAGAAGATAAATGGTAATTAGATTGTGGTAGTTACTTGTGAATTCAGGGCCTCAGAGGAAGGCTGTACTGATCAAGAAACTCTGAGGAAGTTGCATAAGTACAGGTTTACCCCAGGTTCAAGGGTGCCCATCACCAGGGAGAAATTCCACAGAGTGACAGAGTAAGAGGGTGCCAAAAATGACTGAATTGTATGATCTGCTGGCCTTGTACCATGTCTAAACTTTCATTACAGTATTTAATGTTGCTTAATGCCTTAATCAGGGCTTGCTGAAATGCTGCTTAAAAAAAGAATGAAAAAAATGAAAAAAGGTGAAAGATTTTACAGAAGTTCTACAGAGGCAGGCAATTTATTTGTATTTGGCAATACTTCATATTTTAGCATCTGGCTGTCACGTCAGTAAGTGCATGCTTTTTGGCTGAGTGAACAATTTTAACTAGCTGTCTAAAGACAGACTATTCTCTTTTGAACACTTTTAAAAGGTTAGGTTTCATAGTGGTGAGATTACCACCAGAGAATCTGAAGCTATTGGAAAAGAAATAATGTGGTGTTTCTTCCAACGTGCTGCCACGTACATGTGGTGTTGCTGAAAGGAAAAGCAGATCATGAAGGAAAGAAAGAGACAGTATGCAGGGGAGTTTGGGATACTAGAAAAATCAAAAACAGCTGTACATCTGTATGCTTGTTAGTATATCAGATAAGTAATGTATCAGTGAAACCTGTATAAAGTATCAGCATGTGGTATATCATAAGTACACATTAAGAAATGTACCTGATCCAAATGGATCTAACAGGAAAATTATATTGGAAAAAGGCAGAGTAATATACCTGGAAGAAAGGATGATCTTCAAAAAATAATTGCACTTTGGGAACAAAAAAGCAGGATAACCTTCTGTTTGCCCTATCAGTTTTCTTTAATGCTTTTTCTTTGCTGTTGTGATGAGGCCTTGTCACGGAAACAAAGGCTTTTAAAAAGGAGCTGTCAGAGTATCTAGGCCATCTCATTGCCAGTGCAGAGGAGTTTGCCAGGAGTGATTTTTTGCAGCCTATTGAAAAAATCTTGAACACTATTGCGCTGTTTCTTTGGAAGACGCAATTGCACCTGTAGAATAAAAGTCTTCAGAATTCTGGAAGGGAAGATTTTCCCAATTGCAATTGGCCCCACCTCTTATACAGGATTATTTAGATTATTACCTTGTATAGTAAATATTCTTTTCCTTTGATAATGTTTAAACTCCCAAAGCATTTTACTAACCTTTATCCGTGACCTGTCTTGGGCAGAAAACGCTGTGGTTACTTAGCAACTCTGCTGGAGGAGAAGGCACTGTTCCCAATTGCACAGTTAATGCTGAAGTTAATTTGGCATTAAATCAGAAATTGAAATTCTTTCTTAGGTATGAAGAATTCGAGAGACCTTTTGCTGTGTTTATTTTCAAAATGCAAGATGAGATTTCTGGAAAAAATACAAGAAAATTAGTTAACTTGCTTGCTAAAATTATTTTGAGGATGTTTGTCTAAAAAGATACAGTTCATTCTGGGATAGTATTTCTGCCATGCTCTTTTCCATCGGGGGCGGGGGGAAAGTTATCAATTAATTTATACTGAAAAATGATTCAGCAAATCTCAAAGCAGGATATGTATTTCTGAACTATTG